TGAGGCAGGAAAGACAAGCTGTATGATGCATTTATGTCACATTACACAACTGACATGTCCATAGGAGTAAAAAGCAGACTAGCAATTACCTGGCCGGGTGGGAGGGTGTAAAGTAACAACAACCCGGCAGTGTAAGGTTCCTCTGATAGGAACTGAAAATGTTCTAGGTCTACTTATGGCTGCACATTTCAAAATATACTAAAAACTAAAGAACCAGTGAATTTTATGTTATGTGAATAACATTTTTAAAAGCTATTTTTAAAAAAGTAAACTGGGCATGGTGGCACACGCCTATAATCCCAGTACTCGGGAGGCAGAAATAGATGGATCTCTATGAGTTTGAGGCCAGCCTGGTCTACAAAGAGAGTTCCAGGAAAACTAGGGCTATTACACAGAGAAACCCTGTCTTGAAGAGAAAGGGGGAGAGAGGGAGGGAGGGAAGGAAGAAAGGAGGGAGGGAATGAAAGGAGGGAGGGAATGAAAGGAAGGAAGGCACAGACAGACAGACGCAGAGAGGAAAAATGTATAAATATGGAACTGTTTTTCCCTCAGAAAATAAAGGTACTTGTTGACAAGCCAAACATCCTAAGTTCAGTCCCCAGAACTCACATCATAGAAGGAAGGAACAGGATACTGCATGTTCTTCTCGGATATCCACTAGTGAGTTATGGCATATGAACACACAAACGCGAGCATGCATGCACGCACCATGGGGAGGAATATGAAGGATGATACATAAAAACTAACATTTCAGAATTTAAATTACTATTATTGATAAAACATGAGTTAATTTAAAATAAGAAAGTAATGTTGATTATACCACTCAGACAATGCCTAGCAGAAGGAAAGGATGAATGGCATTTGTAAACACAGTAAAAATATACACCAATGAAATCTCTCATTTGGACGACTCAGCATTACTGACATACTGAAGTATATACATACATTATTTCTATGCTGTAAATCTACATTTTGAATTTCCCTACAAAAAATTCAACGATACAAATAATCATTTCTGATAGTTACAAGCAAACAACCTAAAGACCAATGAGTTGGAAACCAGGGTGCAAATGTTACAATACATATGGAATACTACACAGTCACTTAAAAGTGATCTGTGTGCAAGTTAAAGATCTCCAAGATGAAAAAGTAAAAAGATCAAAGACAAAACAGCATATGATCTCATCTGTATGCTCTTTAGAAAACATACTGACATATAAATAAATTTCCTGATACAACATTAACACTAGTTTCCTTCAGTTAAAAGATTGAAGAACACTTTTACATAATAATTCTGCTGTTGAGTTTTTAATCTAGTAAGTTTCCATTGCTATGTATTTTTTAAAACCACACTGGCTTCCTTTCTATGAAGTTTGGGTCTTACTCTACAAACAAAAACAACCTAGACCCCTCTTGACATGCTATTACCATGATCTAAAATGAAATCACCCTCATCATTTACAAGCAACTTCAATATATGACTAAAAGCATATTCTAAGAGCTCATAAATGTAGACCTTAAAAGAGGCCTAATACTGTTTTATGATGCATTACTTCATTTCAAATAACTCAAAATAACACTATAATGCACCAATCAGATTGGATAAAATAAAAGTATTTTTTGAATATCATTTATTTTGCTTCTGGAAGATGTCTCTTTGTTCAAGTTATAATAACTGAAGCAAACATTTCAATGTACTTCCCAATTATATTTTTAAGACAAAATTTCACTCTGCAGCATAGACTGACCTTGAACTTACAGGAGTACTCAGAACCCAGTCTCCCACATGCTGGAATTACAGGTCTGAGACACCATACCCAGATATTTACAATGATTCTTAGAAATAAACTTAAGCATGTACAGAATAAGAATACCATGCAAGTAACGTGTTATTTTTAGGAAATCCTATTCTGAATATGCTTTACATAATAATCTCATTTTCACAGCCTCTAAGGGGACAGCAAAAGTATTATCATTCTCATTTTACATGTGCATAGTGATCAGGCATCAGAATACACCATGTACCACTCAGCATGAAAACAACAGCTATAGGTACAAACACCCTTTGGGCCAGAAGTGTTCAGAACTCAGATGGCTCTGGGCTTTAGAAGAGTAATTACAGCATTACATAATGCCCTCTCGGGTATGGAAAGCATACCCAAAACAAACGCATTTCTATTTCTGCAAAGAAATATATAAATATTAACAACAACAAGCGGGGTAAATAAAGGTCTGTCTACTCAGGTCAAGCTCTGCCTCCAAAGGAGTGATAAAACTTGGTATGAGGACCTTTTATAATTACTATTACTTTGAAACTACGGACACTGGGTTCTGGGCCTACAGAGGTTATCTGTCTACTGAAAACCATTTTTTTTTTAAATTAGGCAAAAGTCCTTTTCTATCTCAAAAGTCAAAACCCTTTTTTGGCAAAATGGATATGGGGTCCAAACTTGCCAAGCTTGACACAGGCTTCCTGGAAAGCCAAAAGCACCACTCCCATCACGAATGAATCTCTTTCTTTGCTCGGCCATATCAAGCACCACTGGCAAGGAGAGACGACTCAGAGGACTCAGAGAAAATAAAAGTTAGCACTACTTGACTGGCAGCTTCTTCCTTGCTCTCTCCTGCCATCCTGCATCATCAGGCAGCTAAGGCTAGTCATCACCCCACTCATCAGCACTCCCCTCATCCTGTATTCTCTAAGCAAAAGGTCCCACCTGCCTCCCTTAACCATCCTCCTACTCCTTCTGCTGGTCAGTCTTCTGCACGTGCTCATTTGTCTCTGTCCTAAAATGTCACGCCAAGACCAAGTGCAGCTGCCTTATCTGAACAACACAAAGCCTGGTTACTTACCTAGAAAGGAACATTATCTTCTCATCTAATAGCTTACACCTATTAAACTCTAGCACTAAGCCGCACTAAAGCAATTGATATAAGCCCAGAGAAAGAAAATCAATTAACTCACTATTAAATTAAAATGTATAACCGTTTTGTGCCCACTAGTACATTAAAAGCTACTCACTCTCAGCAATAAACAATTGAATGTAAGTAAAAACAAGATATGATGGATTAAATGGTAGTATTGTAAAAAACGCCTACAAAATGGGAGAAAGAACTAGGTGAGATGAAGATGAAAGAAATCAAGAAAGGAAGAAAGGAAAGAAGGAAGGAGCGAGCAAAGAAAAGATCAGCAGAGACTTGAAAATTACTCTAAAGTTCACACATTACCATTGCTTGCTTTGATGGTTAGCTTTAGCTTTAACTGTCAACTTGAAATACCCTAAAATCACCTGTGAAAAGAGTCACAATGAGGGACTATATACATGGGGTTGGCCTGTGAGTATGCCTGTGGGGGACCAGCCCACTGTGGGTGGCACCATTTTCTAGGTAGGGGTTCCTGAACTATATGAAAGAAATAGCTGAGAAAAAAGGGGACAATAAACATGCATTTCTCTCTGCTCCTGACTGGGACCAACTATCTGAGGTTTCTTCTTGACTGCCTCACAATGATAGACATTAACCTGGAACTGTAAACCGAAATAAGTTACTTTCTCTCCTAAGTCGGTTTGTGTCAAGATTTTATAACAACAGAAATGAACTAGGAAATTCGTGTTTACTTTTTTTGTGTGATTAAAAAGTGGAAGCTGTAAAAAAAAATGAATGGAGAAAAGATAGGGGAATATTTGCACTCTTTTGTATATTTATGACTTACAATAAGTTTTAAAATCTGTCAAAGCAGCCTTGACAAGAATATACAGAAATAAGAACCACCACAACCAGAGAAGTCGAGATTTGACCTGACTGGGGTGACAAGGGAATGAAGGAAGGAAAGAAAAACACACACAAACACCACACACATACACACACACACACACACACACACACACACACACACACACACGAGAGGGGGAAGGGAGAGAGAGAAGCTAGAATCAAGTAGTCTATTCTCACTCTGAAGGAGCACACCTACCATGCAGCAACCGGGAACCTCAGTGTGTTATGTACAGCACAAGGGGAAGTGTTGAGTACTCTCTGGTAGGAGGTCTCTGTAAAAGAGCAGTCTCAGGCCATAAACTTCCCAAGGGAGGAGTTTGTAATGGCTGGCGTTTGTAAACACTGCCAACATTCGAACTTGGACCTAGAGGAGGGCCTTGCCAATTCAGAGCCTGGCCGGGACATGTACAGCTTTGCCATTCCCAAGGATCTGAGTCATGGTTCCTTGACATGTCAACATATTCACTCAGGACTTTCTTAGCGCCACACAGGAGGCTTGATGTAAACATAGGTTAACCCTATTTTTCTGAAGGACAATTGTGATACAGAAGAATATGAGCACACACTATGACCAAGCAATCCTATCGCAAGGTATTTAACGTAACTAAGGTGCGTATCAGTCAGACAGAAAAAGATGGGTATATTTAACCATATTCATCAATCATGATTTATAACAGAAAACTACAGCAACTTCAGTGACTAGTAACATCTAAGTAAACAAAACTCACAGTGCAAGAGTATTCACACATTCGAAATTATGCCTAACTATGGAATTAAAAGCTGATATTGTTGAATGAGCAATTACAAACAGCATACAATTTCATTCAGCTTCATTAGTGAGATACGTGTGTGGTATGGTGTGTGTGTGTGACCTGTCATGTACATGGTCACATATGTGTATGTACATTTTGAGACCAGAGCACTGGGCATCTTCTTCAATCACTCTCCACTTCACAATTTTGAGACAGGGTCTCTCAATGAACTTGAAGTTCACCAATTAGATGAGCTGCCTGTCCAGCAAGTCCCAGGATCCTCATGTCTCCATCTCTCCTGCATACCCACCATGCCCTGTCTGGGTACTGGCAAATCCAAACTCAGGTTCTTACTCTTGTATAGCCAGCACTTTACTAAATGAGCTATCTTCCCAGTCATGTGTGTGTGTGTGTGTGTGTGTGTGTGTGTGTGTGTGTATACAGAGACAGAGACAGACTTCTAGATATATTTACCAAAATGTATCAACGGCTCTCTTCAAATGCTTCATTTTTCCTTCTTTAGCTGTTTTTGCATTCTCTTCCATTTCCAGTGAACAAACATCATAAAGCCTAAGCCACTGAGAAACAAAACACCAACCATTTGATTCAAGTTAGTTTAATGTCTTCACGCATCTACATGTAATTTTGTTCTTTTACTTGTAATTTCTTCCCCCCTTGATAGGGCATCATTGATACAAACAAGTACACTAAACCGCCCCGGGCTCTCATCAGGAGCACAATGGATTCACACAGATTAGTCATATTTCCTAAAGTCCTATGACTTTTAATGCCTAACAACCCAGAACATTTTCCTGCTCAAGAAAAAGATCATTTGAGCAAAATGTCAGAAATCCAAAGGCCTAAAGACCATTTACACACTTTTTTTTAACAAATTCATGGAATTATTTAGCAACTCTTCTACATTTTAGACAGATGCATAAAGCTATAATATTTGGCAATGTTAATAATTTTATACAAGAAGGTAGTTTATTTTGTTGATATGCCCTTTTAATCTTTTAGACAGTTCTATAATGGAAATTATTTTTAATATTCTATTGTCTATAATTAAAATCATCATTTTGGTCCCTGGAAACTGGGATTATACAAGAACTTCTTCAAAAGCTTATTATAAAAAAGAGTTTTAAGTACAATGCTAAACTTCTTTAAATTACACATATTTTTCTTCCTAAGTTGGTATTATTTGAATATATTGAGATATTAAGTAAAATTTCTGTGTCAGTTATAAATACAAGCAATGCACGAGGTTGAAGGCATCTGGAGAAATAGGTTAAAAGCTGCATATGGGGCTGGAACAATGGCTCAGTGGTTAAGAGCTTGCATTGCTCTTTCAAAGAAAGGACACAGTTTTGACTCCCAGTACCCATATTGGGCAGCTCACAACCACCTGTCACTCCACTTTTAGGAGATCTGGCATCTCTGACTCTGTAAACTACATTCAAAGCACATACTCACACAGAGACATACACATATACACAATTAAAAACAAGAAATTACTTTTTTAAAAGATGCTACATGTACAGTTTGGGATATTGTGTGTAATAACTTAGGAGTGAGTGAAGTGATATATGCAGTTAGAAACTGGCTACTAATGCTCATAAATCTTAGTGTGCCCAACCTATAAGATACAGAACATGGCTGTAAGCGCCATTTTTCTCCTGTGGAGAGTGACAGAATCTGTGAGACCCAAGTGGCTCAGCAGGTGATAGTGCAGAGAACATTAAAGGGTTGTCCTTATGCAAAGGCCATGACCTTTGAAAACAGTGAAGACAGAAGCACTTCCAGAGACGTGTGAGCACCCTGGATCCCAGTATTAAATGCAGTTTCTTAAAGCTTGTCCTCTGGTTAAAAAAGAAGTTCAAACAGGACGTCACTTCATTCCCCTCCATGAAAACAGAAGATTAAACCCGAGAAAAGGGTTGTTTAACCATAAGAACTTTCAAACACATCAATTCTGAATCTCGCCTTTACTTCTTTTTCCTTGGTACAGGCTTAATAAAGTTATTGGAGAAAAACTAGAAATACTGATCATAAAAATAAAATATAAAAACCAGCAGCCACCTCAAATAGACCTCATTAGGATGACTTTTCTAAAAGGGCTTTTCAGTTTCTATTTTAGCAGTAAAGGGAAGAGTCTACTATTGCGTTGAGTGCAAAGCCTGTTTTATAACTAAAAGTTACAGTCATCCAGGGGGAGTTTATTTCATATTACTGAGGCGGCATCCAGCCCCAAACCACCTTTGATCAAGAGGCCTCTCTCAGCGGCACACAAGCTTCTGAGCTACCCCCTATCCATTCTGATCCCCTGCTCCAAAACAGCCTAAGGATTAGCTTTTTGGATCTACTTCTCAAATAAAAGATTTTTAAAAGTAGTGAAAAAGGGATTAAATAGGCTGAAAATTCAAATTAATAGGTGAGTAAAACACAGCTTTCCCAAAGCCGTGTGGTAGGCAGTCTTATAAGGTGCTGGTACGTGATCTAGAGTTTTTATTTGGTTATTAGCTATGCATCTATCACTGCAAAATTTACCAAGTGATATTATTTGTGTTCTTTTCACTACAATTTTAATAAAAAGCTTACTTTTTTTTAATTCTTACAACCCAAACAATCTACCCAATGACTTCAAGTGCAAAGAGAAGACAAGACAGGAGAAAAAAAGGCAATCTTAACCTAACACTGAAACGTGAGGGAGAAGCTAAACAGGAACCATGAGCGCCCTGGAATCATGCTCTCCAGACTGATGAGAGACAAAACCCCTGTCCATTCTCTTGTCTCAAGTGACATCACATGAGAAAGATACATCATGCAACATGATTCTTGTCATATACAGTAGCATATATGACACTAGGAAGGTTGATTAATTCCAAAGAGCTCATATAGACCCCGCGTGATGGTTACTCTTCACTCTCTACTTGGATTAAGACTCAGCTAGGAGACACACTTTCGGGGGCATGTGTGGGGTTGTGGGCAGAGAGGGTGAGTGGGGGAAAGGCCAACCCTGACAGCAGAACAGCATCCCTGGCTGGGTTTCCAGATTACATGAGAACGGGAAAGGGGGAAAAGTAATCCGAGCACTACCTTTCACCTTTCCGACTGTCCGTAGAAGGTGATGCCACCGCCTTCCCAGCCACGATGGGCTGTCTCCCCTCTTAAACCCCCAGGCAAAATAAAGCCCCCTTGTCTCAAGTTGCTTTTGTTGTGTGTTTGTTACAGCAAAGAGCAAAATGACCGCTATCCCGTCAAAGAAGGAGATGGGTAACTGGCACAACCTTCCACTGCTCCAACAGCACAGCACTTGCTACAAGTGCTGCAACAGGCAGATCCCAAACTGCTCCATTTCAGACTAGACATTGTGACTATGATGCGATCCCCTCCCTGTGTTCCATAGTGAGAAGAGCCGGGAAAACAAAAAGTTGATCTTGTTGGGCCTGCTCTAGACCTTTTAGGAAATGACCTTCCCCATCCTAAGAGAGAAGTCAGAAATACTCAGTACAAGCAGGACCTGGCCCTGCAATGCTGCAGTGAAGATGGAGGAGCTACATGTGGCCTCAAGAAGCAGGGTGGTCCCTGTTAAAGAGCCAGAGAAGAAATGGCAACCTCAGCCTTACAACCACTAAGAAGGGAACATAACCAGAAATAGGAATGAGCATAGAAATGGGTTTCTCCCCGAACTTGCAAGTCTTTTACAATCTACCTCAACACTGACCAATAACACTAACCACATAAAAGATTCTTTCCATCTTTTACAGCAAACTATAGAAATTTAAGAAGTGTCAGTAGAAATGGTGACAAAAAAAAAAGAGAATTATATAGTATACTTGTGCATACATTCAACAAACAGTCTAGGGACTGTGCCACATTCAGAGACTATGGCAATGAACACCATGATCCTGTCTCCTAAAGTTCACAACCTGTGTTGAGGAAGGTACAAAATCAGGGAAAAGCCCAGCAGTGTGGGAGCCAGACAACTCTTGTTATAGACAGCATAGAAACAAGCAAAGGCTGCCAGGAGGCCATGGTGTCTGAGCAGTAACTAAGCAGTCAAGGTGGAATTTGCCTTGGCTGGATGGAATGAGGGGAGAGTGTGATGAAGTGGCAGCATTTGGAGTTAAATGACCTTCAAAGAAATGTTAAAGACAACATGGCTGGCAAGGAGAAAGCAAGGAGTGAAGGAGGGGAACTACTGGAAAGCTAGCATTCTGGGAGAACCAGAGAAGCTGGGAGGACCATGCAAAGCGGGAGACTAGCTCAGCATATGAAGATCCTGGAGCACTACAGTAAGAGTCATCATAGACAAGATGGTGGAGAGGCGGTACTAAGGTACAGTACAATGATCAGACTCAAGCCTGGGACAAAAAGATGCCATGCCTGTGTAAGGAATGACAGCTGACAAAGATGAGATGACATGGGAGAAAAGGTTAGAAATGAAACCTGGGAAATACTTAGACTTAAGACTTTAAAGCAAAGAGGAGAAATATGCGTAAAACAAAACATGAAGTCACCTAAACTCAGATGTTAGTGATCGAGCTTTCAGGAAAGAGCAGGCTCTAAGAAAGACAACCTCTGATCTCAAGAAGCATAGTGCATACAGGAGGATTTGTGAATCTTTACAATGCAAGAGAAACGTTCCTGAGTACTAGGACACAGTTTCGGGAAGCATTAGAACGCAGTAAATACTGTACCTAGATGAACCAGGGACCTGTGAAAGAGAATGTACCTGTGTTAATACTCCAGCAGGGGAAGTGTGTAAATAAAGGCAAGAGGAAAACAGAATAAAAGGAAGTAGTAGCCAGGAACAGTTACTGGAGTTCACATTATGTAAGTCACTCTTTGTAATTATTGCCACTGTAGACAGAAGTATGGTGTGAGAAAGAGGTAACAGCAAGCCACAGAAGGCTGTGGCAGGAGAGGGCCACTGTCCCCTAGTGTGCTGCAGATCTTTCTCAGTTCTGCTATGAGCAAGAATCTAACCCACAATGATAGACCACCTCAGTGCTTAGGGTTTTTTTTTTTCTTTTTAGCTAAAGATAATACAGTGTATAGAGATAATGTGTTGGGTGCAGCATATACCTCTTGTATTTGCCATTGCATACTCTGGGGTTTTAAAAACGTGAGTGCCAGGATCAGAGGCAACCTGTGCTCTATATGACCAATCTTTGCAAGAATGAAGAAATTATATAAGGCAGTAATAGTAGTAAAGAAAAAAACTAACAGAGTATCTTTTGAAGATGCAATGTTTAAAAGACTCCAGGAGTTTGAGGCAACAGTAGCACTTCTTCCATAATCCCATCCTATAGCAGCACTAGCACAGCATTAAACTACCAGCATGTGGGACAATTCAATGAAACAAGGAGACTAGAGGCAGCCAGTGCAAGAGCATCCACTCAGTGAAACACTATGGGCAAAGAGAGAGACTGAGGCAGAAGAAAAAAAGAACAGGAATCTCCACATGCTAATATGGAATTTCCATACTGCACTGTTATCTTTGGAGAAAAAAAAATTACAGAAAGATGGTGTATAAAATAAATGCTATCTTCTATGTAAAACTGGAGGAAATAAAGCACCCGTGCATGCAAGTGAATACAGAAAGAATAAGCAAGAAATTGCTAGCAGAATAGGAGAAAATATTTACATAATGGCTTAGTACCCACAGTATATAAAGGACTCCTGTGATCCAACAAAACAACACAATTTTAAAATAGGCAAATAAGTTGAACAGACATTCTTCCAAGTGGTCAACAATCATATAAAAACGCTCCAAATCATTAATCACTGTGGAAATGCATCAAAATCACAGTAAGATGCCACTTCATATCTACTAGAATGAATAATGTAAAAAGGAAAACACATTTTGTCAAGGATATGGAGAAACTATAATTCTTGTCCGTTGCTAGTAATACTATAAGACTATCCAAGTCACTCTGGAAGATAGTCTGGGGAGATGACTCAATACATAAAACACTTGTCCCACAAGTGTGAGGGACCTGGGTTCAGATCTCAAAAAGTCACAGGAAACTAGAAGCAGTAGCATCCTACAGCAAGATGGGAGGGAGAGACAAAAGAATCCCTGGAAGCTCACACACCACCTCATCTGATTTATGCAGCTGCAAACAACAGAAACCCTGTCTCAAACAAGATGGAAGGCAAGGACTGGTGCCCAAGCTTGTCCTCTGAGCTCCATACTCATACTGTGGCAAGTACATGTACTCACACATATGAACATGAGCATACAAACACAAGCACATACATCATAATCTGAAAAGATTGTGTTTTAATATGTATTTGTTTCTATTTTCTGTGCATGGATGTTTGCTTGCATGTACGTCTGTACACGACATGTACCACTGCCATGTGAAGGCTGAAAAGGGCATTAGATTCCCTAGACCTGGAGTTAAAGATGATTGTGAACCACCATGTGGGTGCTGGGAACTGAACCCAGGTCCTCTGCAAGAGCAACAAACACTCATAATTGCTGAGCCATCTCTCCAGCTCCCAGAAAATATTTTTTAAACTTAAAAAATGGAATTATGACCCCAAATTCCAATCCCAGGAGTCTATCAAAAAGAAGAAACAAATATTCCAGCAAATATATCAGCATGCACATTAACATTATTCATAATGACCAAAGGGCAGAAACAATGCCAAAGCTCGTCAACAGATCAATAACAGGTGCAGGGCATCTACACAATGCAATGCTGAGCCATAAACAGAAATGAAGTACTGACATGCACAATATGGACAAACCTCTGAAACAGGATGCCCACTGAAAAGAGCCAAAAAAAAAAGGCCTGATATTAAATTGCTTCATTTACATGAACTATTCAAAATAGGGAACTCCACACAAACAATGCCAATTGGTGGTCGCTAAGAGCTGGACAAAGTAGAATAAGGAAAGAATGTCTAATGGGCATGAGGGCTTGGGAGCTGAATAAAAGCGGTTACTGCGTAATACTCAGGGAATATCTAATGCTACCAAAGTGTTCATTCCAAAAAGTTAATTTTATATTATATGAGTTAAACTTCAATATCTCTCTCTCTCTCTCTCTCTCTCTCTCTCTCTCCGTGTGTGTGTGTGTGTGTGTGTGTGTGTGTGTAGATGCATAAGCATGTGAAAGACAGAGGACCACATTGGGTGTGTTTCTTAATCACTCTCCAGTTTATTTTTGAGGGAAGGTTTCTCACTGGACCTATTTTGGCTAGCCTGGAGAGCCAGCAAGCTCTAGTGATCCACCTGCTTCTCCAACCACCTGCTTCTCCAACACTGGGGTTACATACATGTGCTCCCTTGCTCAGATTTTATGTGGGTACTGGAGAATGGAACCAGAGTCCTCAAACTCATGCAGGAATCACTTCATAAACTGAGCCATCCCTCAGCCCCTGAATCTCTGGTTTAAGTTTCATTTTTTTTCTCTTGTTGCAACATGAAAAATGTTTCCTTGCAAAGTAACTTCAGATACTGTAAAATGCAACTGGAACTGTTGGGGTGGGGGGGAGAAGGGAAAGGCAGCTTCATATAAATCATTATACTGACCTAGTATCAGCTACACAGTTCTGAATCACATGCCTTGGGTTCAGTCTCCAGAGCAGTGGCACAGCTCCACTCTGAGCAGCCACCCAGGATGTATCATCAGTGCCGCACTCTTAAGAAATTCAGTACATTCTGAAGAAATCAACTCAAATTAAATGACCCAGAAAAATCAAAGAGGACTTTGTAAATCATTTTCACTTTGATTGTGAGGCTTCCACAAATTCAGAAAGTACCACAGTATCTATCATCTGTGTCAAGAATTTGGGAGGGCTTTTATAGCTTTTGTTTTCTTTTCTTTTTAAGACTTTCAGTTTCAAAAAGATATTTTTTCATGCATGGTTAAAACTTAATTTTCATGCCAAGAGCCTTTAGTTGATGAGCCCTGAAACTGTCTTAAGATTTGAGGACTACAGTATATCCCCACATTGGCACAAAGTCAGAGTTCAGAAGATGCAATACAGACATTTCAAGAGTTCCATTAACTGTGTTGGTCAGAGTCTACAGGTGACATTCAAGTTTAGCAAGGTTTAAGACTGCTTGCTCTCAGCTGACTTTTCTGAAAGCCACCTTCTATCTGACAGTATACTAACACCTTTAATTCCTAAGAACCAAAGTCAGTATTTTTTTAATTGTGGGTAAGCTTAGCTCTATCGTTAAATTTGCTCTTGTTATATAAGTAGCAAAAGATACATGACAAGTCTTATTCCCTTTTTTAACAAGATGAGTAGTGAGCAAATTCTATACTTCAAATAGGACTTAATCTAGGATAACCACAATTAATACTTAAACAGAGCAGATGCTTAGAATATATAAGATCCCAGATTCTAACCTAGAAAGACCATGAACTCGCATCATGGTTGGATTTGGTTTGATTTCTAATGACTTATTTGTGAAGAACAAAGGCTAGTGAAAATGCCTCCTCTATCTTTAGGGTTTCTGCAGATGAACCAAGGGAAAAATCAATATTTAATAAGGTAGTTTTTGAAAGAATGAACTTTGACTCAGAAATGCATAAATTGGAATACTAAGCAGTAATTTACAGTAACATGACCTCTTCGTCTATATAATATAAAAACACACTTTCATTTTGCTTATAGCAACACTCTCCACAGAGTTCAAGGTATGTACAAACTGAGAACTCAAGAAGGGACAGGGTGAAATCACAATATAGTGGTGGCACCCTTCTTTTAATCCCTGCATTCAGAGACAAAGGCTGATCTACATAGCAAGCTCCAGGCTAGCTACAGCTACATAGTGAGACCGTCTCAAAATGCATGCACACACACAAACACACACACATAGTATAAGTAAGAATTAAAGGAAGCTGTAGCTATAAAGAAGAAAGGGATCTGAAAACTAGAATTGAATCTACAGATGGATGACACTTGTACCCAAGTGTGAGGGAGGAAAGAAGGGGATACATGCACAAGGCAGCCCTGGAACTCACTCATCAAAACAGAAAGGAGGAGGAAGCTAACCAGGATAGGCTCTTTCAAAGGACTGAAAACTGACTGCCACTCCTCGCCATCAACACCAGTTCTCGGCAATCCTATTAGTCAGGTAAATTCATTTTCTCTCAAAAAGCACAAAAATATAGTCTAGTTCTCATTTTAAGTACTCAAATTTTCAGGGAAAAAAAAAAGACAAAAAAAAAAAAAGGCCAATGGATGAGGAAAGCAAATCCTTAATATTGAAGAAGAAGCAGTTACAACAGCCATGAGATCCCCAAACAAAATATTCCAGAAATGTTTCAAACTACACTACATTCTACTTCCTTCACTGACTGCGGCTCCAGAAAAGGAATCTGAGTGAGCAATAAGCAGAGCAGGAACATGCAGGTGGGCCAGAGCTAGATAACCTTGAGAGAGGGAGACAGATCCATCCTCATCAGAGCAGCATGCAACAACAAACAGGGAAACCCGGCCATCAAACAGTACATGCATGTATCCAACAGGATGTGAGCCCACCAGACAGGAAGCCAGAGTGCTAGCACTCACCGGGAGTACTGCTGCGCTGTGCACACCAGTCTGGCCATGCCACAGCAGCAGAGGGTATGGAGGGGTCACACTGACACCCTCCCAGGCATTCTACCTCTCACAATCTCAACACGATTCTGGGTGTACCAGTCCTGATCCCAATAAACATGACAGCCTTGCAAGCCCCCATCAAGTGGCCCGGAGAAAGGGTAGGCCCTTCTTACAGCTAGACACTTGCACAGGAACATCGGAGCAGCCCTCTCATTTACACATCACACTCTCGTATTTCACACACACACACACACACACACACACACACACACACACACACCATCCAGAACACCATCCTACTGCCAGAGTCCTCACACTTACATTAATTTAACAGTGGGGGTTGTCCTGTTCCCCATTCCCACCCAGAGACCCTCTCCCTCCTAGCTGTCCCCCAGGAAATGGACTTCTTAGGCCTCAGACAGGCCCACAGTGGTAAGGAACGTCTGTGACATCTCAGGCTACATTCATCACTCTCTGCCAGCTATCTGCTCCTGACTTCAGTTCTGTCCCTGCTGAAATCACAATCACAAGAAGGATCATCCTGTCTGGTGACTTAAATTAAATTTGGCTGCAATATTAACTGACTCTGGAGGACCAGCTACAGAAACATTCCTGCTCTGCTGAGTTTCCATACTAAGCCACAAACAATACCTTGATTAATAAGACAGCAAGGGGGATACGATAGGTCAGTGAGGCCATCAACAAGAGGAGAAAATGTGTAGCACGTGTTGGGAGAGGGGGAGAATATTAGCACAAACAATGGAGCAGGCAAGGTATATAAGAGGGTGACAAAACAGGTGACAGGCAACGCACACACCTGCTGTGCACTTCATTTCAGTTGAGGAAGGAGAAACACATTAGGGACTCATTTGATCTGATAAATGGATGAGCACAATAATCACGGTGATTTATTAAGCAGGACACCACACTAAGTGCTTTACATGCATTATCTCTTCTAATCCTTACCAAAACCTCGGGAGAGATTAACTTTTTTTTTTTAAATGACCTTCTAAAAGCAAGTTACAGTGCTCACCCAAGGTCACACAGATCATAAATGGCAGGAGCAATGATAGGTCACAATGACAAGACACATCATCAGACGGCTTAGAACTACTGATAGTATGTGTGCGTGTACATGTGGAGATCAGAGCTCAGCTTCAGGGTCATTCCTCAAGACATTTTTGTTTGTTTGGTTTGTGTTGGTGGGCTTGGGGGGTTGGTGTTGTTCTTTGGTTTGATTTTGTTTTTCTTTTGAGACAGGGTTTCTCTGTGTGTAGCTCTTACCAGGCTGGCCTGGAACCCATAGAGATCTGCCTGTCTCTAAATATGGAGTGCTGGAATTAAAGAGGTGCTACCACCACCCAGCTGTTGTTGCTATGCTCAGGAAGCACCTCCCTCTGTAAAGGGTTTGAACATCATTTGCTCAAAAAAAAGGAGCAAGTCTGGCACATTTAAGCAAAAAGAGGGAAACACTGGAAAACAAATAGACAAGGGGAGAAAAAAAAGCACCAGGTTTCAGGGATCTGCATGGTTCTATAAGAACAAGCTAAGAAATGCCAGGACAAAGAAATGGCTGGGGTATCTTCACTCTTACCAGCACAGTTCTCAAAAATAAATAGATAAAAGATAGATAGATAGATAGATAGATAGATAGATAGATAGATAGATAGATAGATAGATAGATAGATAGATAGATAGATAGATAGATAGGACAGACAGATAGATAGATGATAGATAGATTCACTTTTGTGAACCCAAGGCCATCAAATTGTCACCTATACAGCACTCACACCTGAAGCTCTAATTTACATTTGTTATACTTCGATTTTTGAGTACTATACGTACACATATTCAGATTTAAGTTCACTCCTTTTTCATGCACAATAATATTTCAAATTTTTGTGCATATTCCTGTAAAAACTTGAATGTACTGAATGGGTTCAATATCAGTGTTGTTATTGGGAGAATTTGACACTAGAATCAAAAAGATTACACAGGCCTAACCAGAAATCAATGGTACAAATGTGTTTATCAATCCATCTTTCAAAGGAGTTTTTTGCTGTTGTTGTTCTGCCAAAGAGCCCGTCAAGACAGTGTGAGCCTTTTTCAAGCAGAAGAACAAAATAAAGCCAAAAACGGCTAGTTAAGGGCTCTCAAATAGTGGAATTTTTTTTTTAAATACCCACATCCCAGTTTCCCATTCATCCATTCTCAGTGAGTAAACCACATTCTTCCCAAAACCCACAGATTCACATTATGGTAAATATTTCTAATTGCTTTTTGCAATTTAAAAGTTTTAAATGATTCTGTTTAAAACACAAACTATTAGAAATGCAGAGACAAACAGCATAAGCAGGCTGGTCCATTCGTTCAATCATAGTACATCATTTTATAAATTAGTGACTTCTAGGCCACTTTCCACTAGTGTTACCTTCTCATTGCTTTTCTAACCTTTATGTTTTCTATTATATGTGATATTCTTATTTCAGAAGTGATCTAAGTTCAATACAGAAAAACAGAAAGCAGAGAACAGTAGTAGGACATAAGCCACCTCACTCTACTTTTCCAAGAGAGGGAAGAGAGAAACTTGTGTTCGGAGGAGGCTCAGGTAAATCCCAGGGGCCAGCACAACACAAAACTTAGAGCAGCTGACTTTTCATCAGATTACGTATCATATATACTGATGAACATAAGACAGTCTGTCTCAAACAAGGTAGAAGGTAAGGACCAACACTGAGGTTGCTCTCTGATCTCTATACCATCCCTGGGTCTAGCTAGCAAGGCAGCCTAGCCTACTAGGCAAGTTCCGGGCCAATGGGAGATCCTGCCTCAAAAACAAAAGGAGGCAGGGGGAATTCAAGGTTTCAAGGTGCCTCATGGTTTGTCTCTGCCCTCCTCCACAGGTAGACACATATGCACAAGTATGCATCCACATCCCCATATATGTTACAGGTATATACATACAGAAAGAGAGAGATACAAGATACAGAAAAGGGACAATGTCCAAAGCATTAAGAATATTAAATAAAGCATGTGGGAGAATTGTCTATATTCTTTCAATTATGTTTTCAATAAATACTTATTGGCCAGGACCAGGCAGGAAGTATAGGCGGGATAACCAGACAGGAAGTAGAGGCGGGGCAATGAGAACAGGAGTATTCTGGGAAGAAGGAAGCTCTTCCCAAAGTCCTGCCCAGACACACAAGAAGGAAGATGTGACCTGCCCCACCAAAAAAGGTACCAAGCCATGTGGCTAACATAGGTAAGATTAATGGATTAATATAAGTTACAGGAGTTAATAAGAAGCCTGAGCTAATGGACCAATCAGTTTATAACTTATGTAGACCTTCTGTGTGATTCTTTGGGACCTAACGACTGTGGGAACTGGGCAGGACAGAAACTCCAACAAGCAGACCCACATGTTACAAAAGCATATTAATATATTGCATGTTATATTGCATAAAGTATTCCATAATTTCCTTTCTCAAGTGTTTTGGACTGTCTTCTCACCTATTAGAATCATTTCTATATGTTCTGTCCTTTTAGATACCAACACAAAATATAGTCTTCTTAAGTGTTTTAAGAGTCACTGTGGTTCCCAGCTAAATCCTTGGGCAGCTGAGGAAAGGGAGCCTGAACTGGCCCTATCCTATAGCCATACTGATGAATACCTTGCATAGCACCATAGAACCTTCATCTGGCAATGGATGAAGCTAGAGACAGAGACCCACACTGGAGCACTGGACTGAGCTCCTAAGGTCCAAATGAGCAGAAGGAGGGAGAACATGAGCAAGGAAGTCAGGACCACAAGGGGTGCACCCACCCACTGAGATGGTGGGGCTGATCTAATGGGAACTCACCAAAGCAAGCTGGACTGGGACTGATGAAGCATATGATCAAACCGGACTCTCTGAACGTGTCAGGTAAGGAGGGCTGACTGAGAAGCCAAGGACAATGACACTGGGTTTCGATCCTACTGCATGTACTGGCTTTGTGGGAGCCTACTCTGTTTGGATGCTCACCTTCCTAGACCTGGATGGAGGGGGGAGGACCTTGGACTTCCCACAGGGCAGGGAACCCTGATTGCTCTTTGAACTGGAGAGGGAGGAAGTGGGGGAGGGAGGGAAAAGCAAATGGGAGGAGGTGGAAATTTTTAAGTAAAAATAAAAAAAAAGAGTCACTGTGAAAGAAGTCAGGAAAATGTAAAACCTCATTATCCTGGTCAGGGTGACCTGCTGTGGACACAGCAGGAACAGAGGATTCTAGCCAAACCAGTTTCTTCCCATCAGGAGGGAAAGAAGTCAGGGTAGACTAGCACTCTCCAAATAACCTCTCTAACTGGTATGTGACATAATCCAGAGACCATGGGAAATTTTGCTTTAAAGGGATGAAGGGTTGCCAGTAGTATCTCATGTGTGAGTCACCTGTAAACCCAAGAAATAGCAACATACAATGAAAAATAGAGTTAAAAAATAAACTC